ATTACATTTCTCAACAGTCAATATATACGTATTACAGTCAATATACTTAACGATTAATTATATTATAAGGAATCTATTCTTATAATCCCACCTGTGTGCAATTCTATAGCTATCTCGTTCTTCCCCAAAATATCAGAATAAGATAGCTATAGATTAAAAAGGTTTACTTCTAATGTTAATGAATGTAACTATAATAAATTGTATAAATATCATTCATATTATGTAATTATTTACTTAACGGAAAGTGAATGTAAATACAACACGTGTATTATACTGTAAAATTCAATATTGCCTGCGATTTCAGTCACGCAAGTACTATTTATTACGTGTTTCTAACTTTGAAAATGACGCAATTCCATACAACCGTTCACCGCTTCTTTCCGTCCTTTGGGGGTAAAATTACTAAAAATCTTTTCTTGGTTGGTGCTTAGAACATAAAAAGCATCAGCTGTGGCATAAGACCTAGTGTGATTTTAGTCAGTTGGAATCCGATTATCATTCACTAATTAGCCTCTATGAGGTTTTGACTCCATTGGGTTACGCACGATAACAAAAAATCGGTTGTATTTAAATCTCATACTTCTGGGTACCCTTGATCGATGTCATATTTAGGAATACATAACATCAGTCCTTGCCAATAGAGTTCAGTTTCATTTACACACACTTTCCGCTAGTTACATTTTTCATCTTAGCGATTACTTAATGACTAGAAAAATAATATATATAAGTATTATACAATTACAAATTATCTTTTAATTATGATATGAAAACATACAAACTCACTATGTTGATAAGAAGCCTATATTTTGCACAATATATATATTTATAGTTTGTTTTTTTTTATTACCTAATGGAATATCTTTATTTATTTTTTATAATAAAAACAAGTCTATATACTGACATACATTAATTTATTTTATATATATTTAAGCCAACGTTAGTTACGAGTCTTGCAAACCGCAAAATATAGTGTGCTGTTTCAATTAATGCAGTGGACACATATAATTTGTTCAAGATTTTAATTAGTAAACTGGCAATTGTATTTAAACTTTTCTTTATGTTAATTTGTAAAACGTTTGTTGATCAATACTCATACTCAAAATGTACAACAGCGCCATCATGCGAAAACAAGCCGAACTATGTAATAAGTGGCGATCCTGTATCACACAATGAGAGTTTGTGTTTATGGTATACAACCCCACAACATCAACTGTAGGACCGCAGTACTAAATAAATTTAAAACGACGGGGAACTCTGCTTAACATACTAAGTAACGTTGGCTTTAGCAATTTTATTTAACAATCTTAAAACTATAGCCATCTTTTCGCAAAATTTGATCGAGATATGAATTTATATTAACAATCTGATACAATATAGTTTTAGCTGCCGCAAGCGATTTATATTCGCGATGGTCCCTTACAAGACTAGGTTTTTAAACAATCAACAATTAAACAACATTGATTGTTTATTATTGCTTAAATACGTACTTGTGTTAATTTAAGCATTAATGTGATAAGTTAATACAGATTACTTACGATGTTTAACAAATATTCTGCCGTGGGAGAGCCATGCTTCGACACGAATGGGCCGGCACGACCGGAGTGATACCACGGCCTCACAGAAAACCGGTGTTAAGCAATTCTTTCGTTGCCTTTCACTGAGTGAGTGAGGTTACCGGAGCCCAAATCCCGGTCCCCGGTCCGGAGTCCCTTCCGCTGACTCAAGCGGGAGGGACTCCAAGGGCGGCAACGCACTTGTGACTTTTGAGTTTGGGTGTCCATGGGCGGCAGTGGTTGCTTGCCATCCGGTGACCCGTCTGCTCGTTTGCCCCCTTATATCATAAAAAATAAATTTAAATATATATATATTAATTAAACGTCTTGTATACCTATATCGCGCAACCGAAGTTCAGAAGCTGGTTAATTCATATATAGGCATACAACTAAATAATACGACAGGTAATCATAACTTAACAATATATTATCTTAAGCCAATGTACCCCGAATGGGTTTAACAGCAGATACGGTGTATAATTTAAAATAATAACTGTATAACCTTATTTAATTGACGTGAAAAGGCTTATAACATGGTTCTTTATGTGTATGTTTAAGTGTTTAAGACGACAGGGTGGCGTAATGGTTTGTGTAACGGACTGCTAATTCAAAGGTCGCGGGTTCAATTACCGCTTAATTGTGTGCATGAACATTTAATGATTGACTTGGTCTGGGTGTTTCTTTGTATAATATGTATGTATTTACAAAAAAAAAGTATATATGTATTTATATCAGTTGTCTAGTACCCATAGTACAAGCTCTGCTTAGTTTGGGGCTAGATGGCGTTGTGTGAATATGGTAGAATATTATTATTATTTCTTAATAAGTATATAAGATAGTTCGAACAACTTAAATGCTACTAATCCACAACTCACCAAAAACTGACAGCACAGTTACCAACGTCTTATAATATTGAGTGGAGTCTGAGTATTTATTTAGTAACAGAAAGCGTAGTACTTAGCCACTTTGAAGCATGTTATTTTACAACAGTTTACAAATGTTATTTTATTTATAAAGTAAGGAAATACCGATTTGAGATTCAATAATGTCAAAATTATAACGAACAAGAATGAAGTACTTTTACTTCATCATCATCAACAAGCTGTAATAGCCCACTGCTGGACATAGACCTCTCCTTAGAACGGAGGTTTTGGCTTACTATACCACGCTAGCCAGACGGGTTGGTATAGGGTTTGTTTCAAGTTTTCCTTCTCTTTGCAGTGTCTCTTTCCTAATCCGTCACCACACGGACTACTACTTTTACTTACTTACTCGAAAAATATAGATTCCTACTCTTTTTATTCCGTTGCGAATATTTGGTATTATTGAAAGAATAGTCAGGGATAGTTTCTTAAGGCCATGGAATATTTAACATTATATAAAGTGCTAGATGGCCTCGTCTGCCTAATTTTTGTGACAAAAGTAGCCTATTTTCATGTCCAAAGTGCAATCTATGTCTATTACAAAATTAATCCAAATTTATTGAGCACTGTAAACATTACAGGAGTTCAGTTAAAGCACTTTAAAAGTAATAGGGTCTGTGTATTCCGTTTCTTTCGGCTTTAAAATATTGTTAATAAACATAGTAGGATATGTGCAGCCTAAATAACAAAATACCTATACTTAGTTGTACCTATACTTATCAGCATGTATTATTATAACTATCAAGTAAACTAATTACATCTGAAATGCATATAAATGCTATTATATTATATTCAATCAAAATAAAACAGTCTTTAAGTGTAATATCAACAAAAAAAGCTTATACTCTATGGTATACCTTAGGCATTCAATTATAAACCTTATGTTAAATGCAATAAAGTTTATCTTCGATTCGACATTCGAGATCTTTAAATAAATAATTCATTTAATAAAAAATAAAAAATCTTTGGGTTTAACAAAAAAATACTAATTTGTAATACATCGTTACTACGTTTATTAATTGTTCAGAACGCATTATAATCTAATGATAAAGAAAAAAATAATAATAAGTATATTAAGTCAAATAAAAACACTTCTAACAATACTTATAGTGATTAACAGTCCGGCCGGTACCACGAGACTTGCATTTGTAGCGATAACAACCGCTTTATAAAGAAAAATCGGCACGCGATGTTCAGTGATCTGGTTTTATAGTATTTATATAATAACACTTTTAAAACTTACTAAAAAAACACAGATTATTAGTTTTAAAATTACTGACAATATCATGACTAGATAATAATCCGCACTTTTTTATTCATGAACAGGATTCTCTAGGACTGGAAAGACTTAACAGCCTTTCCTCAATACCCTGAAGTGCCTGGTTGACTGCAATAGTCCCTTATAACGTGGGACCAATGACGTATTATAATATAGGCGCGTCATGCATGAACATCGCGGCTCTCAACAACATCGTAAACACTAACAGCTTTACTCAAAAACTTTACCAAACATAAACGTTACCAAGAAAACAATAGTTGACCTTTCGGTTGTATACGTTCTGGTGTATAGACGATCGTAAACAATGAGATTTTACACATGCATACGCGCACGCGCGCGCACGCACACACATACACACACACACACACACACACACATACACACACACACACACACCCACGGATACAGAATTACACACTAACCTTACAATTAGTAAGGGTTACAATTAGTAAGGGTAGTGTGTAACGCCTATACACAGCTTCTACATTGTACAACTACACATTTGTTAAACAGATGTGTGACTTATTATAAGACTGTAAATATCTACTTACCCGCAAAGAAAGGGAAAGAACATAAACGCCACCCTACAGGTTACCTCTAGATAGAGTGTGATGAATATACGTCGTAAATCGTATTAGTTACGCCCTCAATCAAAGTGTATAACTAAACAGAATGTTGGTAATTACTACCTTTTTAATTTGCCATTTCAGAGAGCAACGCATCTATAGTTTATATATCATTGAGTGGAACTAAAACTTTGGCGCTTAATACCTCCTTTGGAATATAGTCGTGAGGGATATTTGTATATATTGACACTTTCTTAATTAATAATAATAACTTCACACATCTAGGTGATCTTGATCCCAAACTAGGCAGATCCCATGCTATCGTAACCAGTCTGCTGACAAACATACTTAAACATGATAAACATACTTATATATTTGGAAATATATACATATTATAGACAAATTACACCCAGACACATAAGAAATGATCTTGTTTATTATCACACAATATTTGTCCAGCGTGGGAAGCGAACCCACGACCTCCGGCTTTTCAGTCAGGGTCACTAGACCAATAGGCCGCGCAAATGCGAAGTGTCGCCCTTACTAGACGATTATGGACCGTTCAACAAAATCAATATAAAAAAACTTTAACTCATATAAGTTAACATTATAATGCGTTTTGAACCTTACAACATTTACAATTAAGTTTATTTTAAAACTACTTTAAAGCACAATATAATTATCCAATACTCTGCAGTGAATGTTTGAACTGCAATAACTTACTGAGATTCGTGAATACCAGATCCGGAGGACTAGATATTATGAAGTATACTAGCCCTAGTACAGATAAGACAGCCCGCCATATTGAAAAGTGTGTCCATGTGTGGTAAAATGTTGGTATCGTCGGCTGAAATAGAAATCGACATAAAATTGCAACAGATATTCAGTGGAAAAATAAAGCTATGATAAAAGCTAGAATGTAAAAGGAAAAGTTAGGCATAAGTATGGAAAAATATTTGGTTCTAATAAGTATTATTAAATATGCGTGATTAAGGAGCTGTGGAAATGTAAAGCTGGGCAATTATGGAGCTATACAGAAATAACAAAGATAGCAATTGTTTTGACGATGGCGCTTTGCATTTTTAAATTTAATAAGCGGTTTTAAGAAGTGAGAGTTTAATCTATAACCCGGCAATCTCGTGCGCGACCGTCCCGCGGGGTGACAGACACTGGGGGGGGGGGGGGGTGAAGTAGGCGTCATTCTAGCACACGGCTACACACGAAGAGAAGTGTTTCCCTTCCCCGCTACACCACCCGCTACCCGCTGACATCTTGAGTACCTCGTCCCCGCCACCGTCTGTCACCCCGCAGGACGGTCGCGCACGACGTTGATGGACTATAGTATCAAATCTGAAGCTAGAAAAGGAAAAGCTAGATAATTTTATATAGAGAACTTACTGTCGTAACGTTGGTGGTAAAATTGGTAACGAGTGGCGTGTACTGATAGACCATCAACTCGTCATACATTCTGGCAGCTGTACAGACTAAAAGGCATGCTGTGTACAGTATGACTAGCACGATGGGTTGGAAGTACGGCTGCAGGCCACGGGTTAAGTCGATGCTTGTAATATCCAACCTGAAAATTTACAGAAAGTGATAGCACCTTGGTAGTTCACATTTACATTTATTTATATCATCATCATCAACAGCCTTTAATAGTTCACTGCTGGACATAGGAATACAGAGTGTCACCACCCCTATTCATCCCGTGGGTGTCGTAAGAGCCGACTAAGGGAGCAAACTACGCAGGATAACAGCACTGCAGAGAGAAGGAAAACTTGACACCAAACCTATACCAACCCGTCTAGCCAACGTGTTATGGTAGGCCAAAACCTCCTTTCTAAGGAGAGGCCTTGTCCTTATTTATATACTGTGAGTTTAATATATTAATTCCCGTAGAAATGAAATGTGTTTTATCTCTAATCGTCGTCATGTATTTAATACATACTACACACACAAGCACGTCTTAACCCACGAACGGGGAAAACGGAGCCGTTACCCCCACATTATATACGACTTCTGTGAGTTCTCTTTTTTTTCATTTAGTAACAGGAATCTGAATTTACAGGAAATAGAATCATTCGGTTTTTCTTTAGGGTTTTCACTCAAAGGACCTTATTTTTCTAATTTATCTCAATATCATGTCTTAGTTGTATTTAAATCATAAATATTAGTTTAATATTCAGTGACGCCCTAACCCCCGAATGTTATTTGTATAAAATTCTGTGGAATTCTGTACCGCACCGTAGTAGATGCCGAAATAACACACAGGTAAAGAAAAACTAATAGAAACCCATACGAAACCACACATTACAATTACATAACATAACGTAAGGAACCTAGACGATGCTTAATTCTGCACACTTGAACTCACCTATCCAAAACAGAGAGCAAACACAAAACACAGAAGAAGTAATACGTAGCCACGTAAGGCATGGTGACCACTGCATGGAACGACAGGTGCCCTGCGTCTAAGCTGTCCGAGTAGCTGATGAGCAGCAGGTGCATGAGGGAGAGCCCACCGAGCACGCCGTGACAGGCCACCGCACAACTCCGCCACGCTTTTTGCAGTGTCAAGGCCACGTCTAAAGGGGTGAGATCGCCTAATCTGAAATACAATTCGTTTTCTATAAAAGTCAACTATTTTTTTATAGCTGCTGCTAAATAAAATCCTGTAAAGAACAGAAGTCCCTTCAGGAAATACAGTGACATGTTAATCACATCATCATCACATCAACAGCTTTTAATAATCCACTGATGGACATAGGCCTCTTCTTAGAAAGGAGGTTTTGGCCTGCTATACCACACTGGCCAGACGGGTTGGCATAGGGTTTGTGTATAGTTTTTCTTCTCCTTGCAGTGCTTATTTCCTGCCTAGTTTGCTCCTTTAGTCGTCTCTTATGGATGAATAGGGGTGGCGACACTCCGTATTCTTATTCCATAACTACATGGACAACTTCCTAACATTTACCATTGTATCGCCCTCCAGACGTATTATGTAGGAATGACGTCACAACACGTCTAACGTAATTTTAATATTATGGCATACATATGTATAAAGACTAAGAATATTACCTACCTTAAATATTTGTCCCCATCTCTAGACTGCTGCGACTCCAAAATCCTGTCTCTAGATACAGCTCTAAATGTACCACCTCCTTGCATATATATTTTCTCAGGTCTTCTGGAGCCAAAGGGGTCTAATCTTTCATCGTTGGGAGACGTCAAGGGTGATGGTGATGAAAACGGGTTGTCGATGTACTGGTCATGGTATGGCATGCTGGATTCTAGAGTTTCCAACATTGTTGTCAGGTCTGTGGGTCGCACTGAAAGCAGAAATAAAAATTTAAATTAATATGCGTGTTTTATACATGAAAAAGTTAATAGAAAATGTGTTCTGTGTTATGCCTTTCTGTAAATATGAGTATATGTATATAAAACTGCTTATTTAAAATACCAATATAAGAATTCCACAGAATTAACTGCATGCTGAACTTTTCTTTTTGTGGGGATACCTCAAAAGTAAGTATTACATTATTAATCCAAAAAGATTACGTCAACTGAAAGAGACTATTTAGCAGAAAATGAAAGCGATTTCAGAAGAAACTTATTAAGTTAAAAAAAAATTGTGGCTGCTTAGAAGTGTAGTAATCGACAAGGTAGTATGTCGCTGGTTATATTTAAAAAAAAATATTTAAATATCATATATCGTTTTGTTTTCTTTCTATTTTCAAAAATGAGCTTGATGGAACATTTGTTGATTTTACATTATTATTATTAAGCTTAATTCAGAACTAACCTGGTTTTGTTCCAGATTTACTCTTGCTTTTAAAAACCTTAGGGCTAACATCTCGACCGTTAGCATTACTATCTTGCCTCTCATCTCTGACTTTCCGCCTCGTCTTTCGCGGCTTATGTCTTAGCTCCCTGGATACACCATTATTATTCTCCACATCATTTTCTTCTATTTCTAGTTCACCACTCAGTGTTACTACTTCTTCTTTATTATATTCTTTAAGGTAATCATCCACCTGGAATTATATAATTATTACATTATTACACTGTAAGACATTTTTTTTGGAAGTATGTATATTTTACACTAAGCTTCAATCTACGTAGTAGCATTTCCTCTGCATCAAAATTATCATAGTATTGATAGGTTTGTATAAAAGTTCATTTTGACATGTATCAAACACGTCCAAATGAACTTTTGTGTGGTGACGGATTAAGAATACAGGTTCACCACCCTTATTCATACTGTGGGTATCGTAAGAGTTGACTAAGGGAGCAACCTACATAGGACAACACTGCAGAGAGAAGGAAATCTTGACCCAAACCATATACGAACCGGACTGGCCAGCTTGGTATAGTAGGCCAAAACCACCTTTCTAAGGAGAGGCCTAGGTTCAGAAGTTGACTATTAAAGGCTGTTGATGATGATGATCAAACAATTGACATACGAACATGAAGCAAGTCTTGATGACTGGGAATACACAAATATATATTATTTCTATACACATCATATATATGAATCCTATAACATACTTGCATTGTTTAGTAAGAACATTTTTCACAGTTTGTCATTATTGAGGTTCAATTTTTTTTTAAAAACTGTGTTTAGTAAAAACTGTATTTTTAAATCTTTAGCATCTAAAAAGTTAATGAATCTCTAGAAGTACATATGACTACTGGCAGGTTTTAATGAGTAAAACAATAAGACAGCCCTACATGTAATTGCTATAATAAGCTATAATAATAAGAGTGAATAGAGACAGAGAGGAGAGAAAACAAATTAAATTTTTTAGCCTTACTTTATTAAAATGAACAAATATATTCACTGCAAGACTAGCCTAGAGTAGCCTATTGGTCTAGTCTAATAGTTAGTAATTCTGCCTGCGAAGTTAAAGATTGTGGGTTTAATTCCCACCCAGGATCAATAACTGTGTAATATGCACAATTCTTTGAATTGTAATTTTTTTTTTCAGACATCTGACATACAACGCCATCTAGTTTCAAACTCAGCAGAGCTTGTACTATGAAAGCTAAATTAACTGGTAGAATACTTTTATACTTTTTTTGTAAATACATACATATTAATATTTAGAAAATACCCAAACTCTGAAGCAAACATTTCCAGGTCATACAAATATTTAGTCTAACCTGGGAATAGAACATGAGACCTCAGCACAGCAGTTGCATATGCTTCCTCTGCACCATCGAGGTAGTCAAATATATATTATACATATAAGTATGTTTATCAGATCTGCTTACAACAACAGTACACTGTTGTTGTAAGCAGATCCGACATAGTGCGTGACTATGTGCGAGATGTGAGTATAAAAACATGGCTACATAAACCTTAAAATTTTACAATAACTCCATTTACTACTATTTTTAATACTATTATTATTCTACTAAGTAGTAGATATTTTAGTACTGGACTTGTAACACTGAATATCAAAAGAGCAAAGTTCAAGTTCTGCCAAAAGTTCAAAGGTTAACAATGACAGCTACCCACACACACTAAAAATCAAACTCAATACTCTATGTACTCTTTTATTCTACTATGAATGTCATAAGCTCCAAAAATAAACCTACAACTCTTATTTTAATGTTACTAAGATTGATTATACTGATATTCAATTTTAGTTTACTACAAGAAAATGTAGAAATCATAAGATTTGATTACGTAGAAAAAGTTAGTAGAAATTATTAAAATTTTAGAATTTTCACTCTTCAAGTTTTCATTGAATATAGACAACTTTATCTGCAATATTATTTAATAGCCGTTCCATACAGTTTCTTGTTTTAAGTCTTTAAAAGAGGAAACAGACCATAAATTGGTCTGTTTCCTCTCTTAAAGACTTATTATAGCATGATGTTTTAAAACCTATAGTATTCCTATAATATTAAAAAAATAACTTTATCTATATAGTAAAGTATTTTCTTTATATTCTCTCTATTCTTTTTTTTTAAATTACAACTCCCACATAGGGAATAAATCCTGTGTCGCGGAGGACTTATAACATGCATGAAACAAACACAAAGAACACCTAGACTCAGAACAACAATTTGTGTATCACACAAAGTGTTGTCCCATGTAGGGATCGAACCCACAACACTTAGCCTAAACCACTACGCCATCCGTAGTCATAATATATTCTTCCATATATAGTATATACTTTATATAATATAGTGTATTCTTTCATAACATGATAAAGTTGATAAGACAGAAAGCATTTTCAAATATTCAAAAGTAATTTCAAGAAATGTTATCAATTTTTTTTAATATTATGATAAAGTCAATGTGTGTGTGTGTAATTGTTTTAAATGAATTTTAAGTTAAAACATTTTTATAAATTAAATACAACACATAGTACTAGGATATAACAACATAACATAACACACATAACATAACATAATATTATTATATTACTATCCATCAGCAATGGAACAATATCTTACCTTTTCCAAGGCACTGAGGCTAGAGCCAGGTATTTCAAAATCATGTAAGTCTCTATCTCTATGTCTTGATGAGTGTCTTTTCTTCTTCCTGTAAGATGGACTTCGTTTCTCCTTATGCCCACTAGAAGGTCTCGACAGAGACTTCATGAATTTCTCATCCATATGATTAGGATCATGAGAATAGAACACAAACGATGGATTCTTGTCTGACTTTTTAAATTCTTTCTCAACAAAACCTAAAATACCTTGTTTAATTTGATCATGGATAGGTAATTCTGTGTCTAAAGACTCGTGTTCAGATTTTATCCAGCTGTCACGTTTGGACTTATCAGTTTTGTCACCAGATTCTTCAATCACCGGTGGTTCTTCTGTCCCCATATGCCCATTGGACATTTTTCGGGACCCAGAACGACTGCGTGATCTTTTAATTTTCTGTTTCGGAGAGGGTGATGTACCAGCCGTGTGTACCTCCACTATCTCGTTCTTAGTATCTACACTCTTGCCTGGCTTCATTATTGTGAAACTATGTCACATCAAACCTACGTAAATCACAATCACCTTTACTGTTGTTTTACACATATCAAATTAATAATACTTATGCATATTTAGTGCATTAAAGCAAAACTGAAATTACATTTCATATGTTTATTCATTATTAAGACATTTTTATGTTTATTTACGTTAGTACTATTTTAAAATTCCAAAAACAAAGACTACTATAACATACTAAATGTCAAATGTCAACACCGATGACGTCATTGTGACGTCATTGGGCCTACGCAAATTTACGTTTCGTTACGCATAAGATTGCGCAAGATTTATTCTGAGTTACTAATTTTATGTCAAAAAGGAGACAAAACTTGTATATGTATTAAGAAATGCAATAAAAACATAAGTGCATTAGTTACCTTAACAAATCTCAATATTTCAAACCAATAATACCTAAGAATAGATACGTAAAGACAAATCATGATGGTCAGCGTATATAGCTGGACCCATTATAGCAACTAACCTTGAAAAGCAAATATATAAAACAGTAACTTCCTACTAAACTAAGTAACCTACTAAAATAAGTACTTTGGCATCGTTATTTTTGCACACAAATATCTGATAACTTACAAAAACACTGATGATGAATATTAATAACATATTTTTTTACTAACTGAGGGAATATGGTACCTTAGTGACGATTTACCACTTTACCATACAGCTCTTTATAACTAGTAAGTGGCACTTTGATATAATCGTATTTAGATACTACGGGAAGTTAATCTCCCTGGAGTTAGATTAACTTCCCGTAGTAAATCTAATAATTACTTAAATAAAAATATAAGTACAGAAATTCCCTGGTGTCATGCTTTGTGGATTTAACTCTGAGTTTATTTTCTGTCAGAGAGTAAAGAGGCCGCGATCCCTAATGAACCCACTGCTAGGACAATCTTATTTGGTGGCCAGAAGGGCGCTTGTTTGTTACTACTCTTCGGAACATGTTTTATTTAGTTTAAAACTTTTGCTCTGGTTATTTACTATGGCATTCAACGCTTTAAGTAATACTTAAAGTAGATACTATTTTAGTAACATATCAATGAATCATTTAATTCGTAAACACAGGTAAACCAGTTCGCCAGTAGGCATACAAATTCAATACATTCCTGTTACAATACAACTGTTGAAAGTCATGTAATCACATACTTATTTAATTCTATAAAAATAGTAGTTGATTTGACATCATAATGAAATATATTGATAAATGACGATTATATCAGGAGAAATGCTAAAACAATTAATAATGTCAAAATAATTAAAAAAGGCCAAAACAATTAATAATTAAAATGTCAAAATATAATTTCGTTAAAACAAATACATACTATCTGCGCCCCGCGGTACTGCCATCAGGTTATCAACTCTTCGCTCATTCCACGGAAGCACTATATTTCTCGGTAGGTATAAAAAGTAGAGTATGTGTTAATCCTGGGTGTCGGCTACCTCGATGCCAAATTTTATCAAAAAAAAATTAAAGCCGTGTGAGTGTGAAGAAGTGACAAACATACAAATACACACACTCAAAAACTTTTGCCCTTATAATTTTAGTGTGATGTGATTCACGATCGATGCGTAACGATTGGAGATCGACGATGGTATTATTTAGAGAGCTCCTTAACTGGAAGGAGGCATCTTACTGAATCAAGAGAATTAGGTAATTCTTACTTCCTAATTAAATACAGCTTTCATGTCCTATCAATACTTGTACTACCATCACCCACGTACATGCACAATCATATTTTCAATATACGAAGTCCATAATTTACTCAAAATTATGCAGTTTAAATTATGTACAGTTGTTCAGTGATTAGACACCATAGATGTCGTGAAAAGCAACCGCCGTGCCACCCGTACCAGTCGACAAAACACACTCAGAAATTCGGAATGTAGCCGACCTTCAACTGCGCCTTCTATGAGCTATAAATGATAAACTGAAAGCGTTTAAAATGTTAATCTTGAAAAAACAAAACATGTTTACACTAATATAAAAAATTAGTCTGTTTTACAGTACTTAATCGAATATGATGTGTGCTAACACCTGTCTGTCATCTCACCTACCACCTAACGACCGACTGTAGCACCGCGTGTGCTTATTGTCCAAATCAAAGAGCGTGCCCGCCCCCGGGTTCCCTAACATAAGACGCGAACTTATGTAGTTTGCTAATAAATTGCTATGAAATTTGCTAATGCTAACAACTGCTAACCTCCTGCCTCCTGACTTCATCATCAGATTAACTTCAAGATATCAAAAGTCCAAAAATCTTATTGTCAACCAAAACAAACCAAAATCATTTCGATACGATAATTATGAATGATTTTTACAAAGTTATCTATTTAATTTTTTAACTACTTACAGGTGAAACTAAATAAAGGCGTGTTATGAATAGGTGCTGGCACCATTCATTTAGAAATTATTTTGGTACAAATATAGCTAAATTTGATGAATATTGGATCTTCATCATTAATTATATTTATCGTATCGTATGTTTTTAATTTTTTCCAACGCGCTTACTCTCAAGTTAGACTGCACAATAAACAGAGGAAATTATTCAAATCGCCCAGGCACAACACAAGTGTTTAAATTGTTTAACGATTAAATTCGTTATTTATAGTTACTTTGTCCGGATTCAATAGACCTGTGGCTATTTTCTGAAACGTTGATTATGCACGGTAAGAAAGAACCCAAGATTTGAACACTATTTTTATTCATCTTTGAGTATAATCATTGCTACATTAGAGGTACCACTAGTAATAAAAGTATAAAAGTATAATAAACACTAAAAATATATATTTTGCTACTATTATGAAAATAAATAGTGCTCTTATAGCAGTTCGCAGAACGACCTCCGTCCTCAGTGACAGGTGAGGCCACCTGTCACTCTAACAGAAGCAGGCCGGGGTGGGCGGTGGCGTGACGCGCTCCGGAGGGGTCATCTATAAGCCGTAGATGACCCGACGTACGTCGGGGCTTTCCTTTCTAGGGTATTCCTGGTTCCCCGGCTACTAGTACCTGGAGATGGCGTGCGGTTTTTGATCGGTTCGAGTCCAACATAATCACCCACTGGTGGTTGGTATCCGAGGAGAGTTCCGAACAGAAAAAAAAGGCTCATTATCTTCTTTAATAGTTGTGCTTTGTTTCGGTGTTTATGACCAATAGATTTTTTTAAGGGGTCCTTGCAAAAAGAGCTTAGTTGTAAAACGGAAGTCTTAAATGAATTTGGAAAAAGTACACTGGTTTGAGATGTTAACATTAGAGGAAATATTTGTATGTTCATCATAAAATACTAATAATTTGTATCTGTTTATAAGTCAAGTCAGTCCTTTCAGTGCCTCTCTCGTTAGGACTAGGGTATAGGAGGGGCAATGGACCTCCTGTGACAGCACTCTGTGTAACACCGGTTTTCTGTAAGGCCTTGGTACAACTACAGCTAAACTGACCATGGCCTATGTTACCAGGCACGTTTGGATGCAAATGTAATCCATAACTTTTTGATAAAAAATCATAGGTGACGCTTTAATTGCCACGAACCTATAAATGTTATCTTAGATAGTCATGCTTATTTAAGTCAATCAGTTAGTATTAATGTCAGATAGTAATGATAAATGATATAGCGAAAACAGTGACGCATACAACGCCAGTGGCGTCTAAAACGTCGATTTCGGTTCCACCTAAAATGGATAATTGGCCTTTAAGAATTGATTTCAGTTTTAAGTTAGAAATAATCGATACGTGAAATTTAATTTTGTCATGCCACCGATTATTTATAGCAAAGTATTAACGGCCTGTATAACATAACACATTTGTGCTTAAAATCAAAGGGCGTGAAAATAATTGTGTGTATGAGGCTGGGTGTAATTTATCTTTTTTTTATGTTAGAGGAGGCAGACGAGCAAATAGGTCACCTGATGGAAAGTGACCATCGCCGCCGATAAACGTCTGCTACTCAGAACTCACAAACGCGTTGCCCGCCTTTTAGGAAGGAGTACGCTCTTTTCTTGAAGGTTTAAAGGTCGTATGGGTCCGGAAATACCGCAGACGATAACCCGTTCCACAGATTGGTTGTGCAGGGCAAAATGTGTCTTGAAAAGCGCACAGTAGTGGAGCGCCAACTTTCCAGGTGATGAGGATGAAAATTTTGCCGTGTGGAACGATGGCGGCAATTTGCGGCTGGTATTAGTCCGTACAATTCCTCGGAGCACTCTCCATGCTAAATGTGATAGAGAATGCAGAGTGAAGCCACATCTCTACGTAACGTCAAGGGAACGAGCCGATCGGAGATGTTTGGGCTATCGACGATTCGAGTCGCTCTTCGTTGGATGCGGTCCAGAGGGAGAAGCTGGTACTGAGTTGCCCCAGCAAAGAAACTTTAAGTAGTTAATCAATGCCTTCATTTTCGTACATGCACATAATACACAAAACTTGCTGTAAATTGGGATACCATAGGAACTGCTCTGGAATATGAACTGATCGCCTTACTAAAAACGAACGAATATAGTGAATTCCACGAAAATTGTAATTGATATTCTATTGACTATAATTTTCGTGATATATTTTTACTTCTTTTCTACAGATCTCTTTTAAAATAAGCACCTCGAGGAAAAGCTTCCTTTTCGAGTTGCTTTCAATTTTTTTTCATACAAAGTCATATATTATTGTTTAGTCAGCTACTTTACAATTTATCTAATTTTATATATTACTTATATTTATATAATAAAACAGTTTCTTGTTAGAACATTTTTTCCTTAGGATCGAACTGTTAACACCATAGACATCGAACGGTAAGGTAATAAACTTCTTAAACTTTTTGCTTATATTAAAACTGACTCACGCTGCAATTATTTTTGCCGCGAAAATTCGATGCAATACTTCTATAAGGAAAATGAAAGTAAACGAGCGTCTAACTTTCCTCATTGCCAGTCTTGTTTATTCTAAGAACAAGAAAATTACCTGTAAACATGTCATAAACCAA